TCCATTAGGGTTGTAGGACTGAGTGGGACCGGGTCTGGCCTGGATGCAACTGAGGCCTTCCCTGCCTGGTCAAGGGCCTGGCCACTGTCCCTTCTCTTGACCCATTCCCTCGCTCTGCCAACCAGGAACTGGCTGCTCCTAGGGGTGAGGGCCGCCTGCCTAGACTCTGGGTCTGGGAACAGCTGTCAGCTGATGGGAGCTCCTGCAGAGGCTCCTGAGGGCCAAGGCCCCGTGGCAGTAGCTGGGATCCCAGACCCTAGCCTGAGAGCTGCTGTGGCTCCCAGCCCTCCAGCACGGAGTTAAGCCCAAGTGCCCTCTCTCTGCAGGTCCCCTGAAGACCTTGCCAAAGTGTGAGATCGCCCTGGAGAAACTCAACAATAACATGGCAGTGGTGAGTGGGATGCTGGGCACCCCTGGGGAACTAGGGCTCCCCGAAGAGTTCCTGGGAGCACTGCTGGGAGGGGCCTGCAAGGTCAAGGTGACTTGGTGGGAGCTGGGCCTGACTTGGGACCCTGCCCACCAGGCTTCTTCTAGGCCAGGTCTGCGGTCCTGGGTGGGAACGTGGGAGAAGTTACCCTCTGTCTGCAGCTCCCATAGATACCTCTGCCACCAAGCCCAGAGTGGGGTGGGGAATTACACCCAGAATCTGCCAACATTATCTGCACAAGGGTGGAGGCTGTGAGTGAGGATGGGCCTGGGATGGGAAGGCCCCCTCAGTGGGGAACCCTCAGATCCCGGGCTACTGACCTTGCCCATCCTGCCTCCAGCCCACTCTCCTACTGCCCCCAGTGCCACCGGCCAAACAGCAGTACCTCTGCCAGTCGCTCCTGGATGCCGTCCTGGCCGACATCTGCTCACCCATCTCCAACTGTTTCCTGTACCACACATTCATTGCAGCCATGACCGCTGTCCACAGCCCGCCCATCACATACATCCAGCTGGGCTGGGCTTAGAGGAGGGCGGCCAGCCCTGGGTCATGGGTGCCCAGTGTGGTCACCATGCTTCCTCCCCAGGGTCCCGGTGCATGCACCTGGAAAGGCAGGCTTGAGGACAACAAGTGGCAGAGCATTCCCAGCACGCTCCTGGCAAGGTGGCCAGGCTGGGACCCAAGTTCCTGGTAAACCTGAATCCTCTCACTGCAGCAACAATGGCACTGTCCACCTGATCTGCAAGCTGGGCAAGTGTCCAAGAGGGCCACAGCAAGCCCCAGCCGCAGCCACAGGGCTCTGCCATCCAAGCTGGAGGGCACAGTGCCCAGAACCCACCCCATGTTCACGCCTCAGCAGGCTGTCTGCTCTGTCCTTAGATACGCTGGGTTCAGCCATGCTATTGCCCCCACCTCCAGAGCCCACACCCCCTCACCTGCCCAACACAGATGCAGCTCTGCTTGCCTAGGGCCCTAGGGAGGTGGGCAGTAGGCCATCCGGGCACCCATCGATGCAAGGCACTCTAGGCTTCAGGTTTGGAATCCAAGGGTCAGATTCCCAGGCTTTGCCACAAACCTCACCAGAACCTTCCGGGGTGTGAAGAGTCGTGTTCTGGAGCAGGGCTGTGAGGCAGGGCAGGCCAGGGCTTGTCCAGGTTACAGGTACAGGCTTCTGTGTTGTGGACGACAAGGACCTCCTGAGTTTGCCACCGCTGGAGTGTAGTGTGCCTGCCGACTACCCTGCCTGGAGCCCACTGCGGATTGACCAACAGTGGCAGTACGATGGGCAGACCCAGAGGAGCTGTCTGGGGACCCAGGGCAGGCAGGGGTCATTCTGAAAAGCAGGCTTCCAGTGCAGCAGGGACTGTGTGTGTGTGCTCTGGCCCCTCCCCAGCTCAGGCCCCACCATTAGCAGATAGGAGCAGGTTGTCCAGTGGTCACCTGAGGCGGGGTGGGGGCGGGGTTCTTTGCTGTTTTCTGTGTCCCTTTGCCCCTTCATCTTGTGTCAGGTCAGCTGTCCAGGGTGGCTCTGTTCAGTGGGTAAAGGGTGAGTAAGCCTGTGGCTCAAGGACAGACCCAGGTCAGTCTCCCTAATCCCAGAGCTGGCACACAGCAGAGGCAGGGCTGGGTCCCCAAGGTTGTCAGAGGCAAAGCCCGGGGCTCCAGACCCTGTTCAGATTCAGTTCTTCACTGGTGATGAGGCTCTGGGTGGAGAGCCCGATGGCCGGGTGGGCAGCGTGTAGGGCAAAACCTCCTGGTGCTTCAACCAATCCTGGGGCTGACCCTTCCCAGAGCACTGCCAGGTGTGCAGGGCATGGGTGAAGCACCAGCTGCCTCAGGCGCATGCCTGCTGCTGTGTTGCAAACACCAACCCCTTCCTCCGGTGGGTTCACCATGGCGTGACCTCCAGGCTGCAGTAGCTCCCAAACACTGGGTCACTGCCTTCTCAACCCCTGGGCCCAGAGCATCCACCAGGCCTTCCCCTCAGCTGCCTAGCCAGGACTGCAGGGATGGCCCACAGCCTCTTCAGGGCCAAGGACACACGCCTCCTGTGAGACACTTGAAGGCGTTGGCTTCCTTAGAGAGCCTGGAGTTAGCCTAGCTGTCCTGCTTTTCTCCTCTGCCAAACGAAATCTGACACTTGTACAGAACTGGGATGGGCGCAGTGGAACAGGCTGCTTGTGGGGTGTTGGCCATCTTCTTAGAGAAGGCCTTCCATGGTGGATCACAAGGTCAGGAGTTCGAGACCAGCCCAACCAACTTGGTAAGACCCCATCTCTACTAAAAATATTAAAATTAGCCAGGCGTGGTGGTATGTGCCTGTAATCCCAGCTACTCAGGAGGCTGAGGCAGGACAATCACTTGAACCTGGGAGGTAGAGGCTGTAGTGAGATCATGCCATTGCACTCTAACCTGGGCAACAGAGGGAAACTTGGTCTCTTTTTTTTTTTTTTTTTTTTTGCGGAGACAGGAAGGAATAAGGAAAGAAAATACAAACAGCCAACCAGTATTTCATTTAAATCTGAAATGCTATGCAAATGCTGAAGAGTGATTTGCTTCCATTTATGTGGTCACTTTCAAAATGGGTGTAATGTGATACTGAGAAAAATGTATGTTCTGTGGACCTGGGGTGAAGAATTCTATAAATATTCACTGAGTTTACTTGTTCTGGGTCTGAGTTCTAATCATAGATGTCCGTGTTAATTTTCTATCTCGTTGATCCGTCGAATATTAACAATGTGGTTTCAAAGTCTTCTGCTATTATTGTGTGGGAGTCCAAGTCTCTTCATAAGTCAGTAAGTACTTGTCTTATGTATCTGGGTGCTCCTATATTGGGTGCATATATATTTATGATCATTGACTCCTGTTGTTGCATTGATCTTTTTACCATTATGGAATGTCCTTCTTTGTTTCGTTTAGTCTTTGTTACTGTTAAAGTCTATTTTGTCAGAGATGAAAGTTACAACTCCAGTTGTTTTTTGTTTGTTTTTTGCTCTCCATCTGATTGGTGAGTCTTCCTCCATCCCTTTGTGCTGTGTCTTTGTGTGTCCTTACTTATGTGATGGATCTGGATACAGAGTGCCGATGTGTTTTGACTTTTTATTCAGTTTGCGTTTCTGTGTCTTTGATTGGGGCGTTTAATCCATTTAAATTCAGGATTGATATTGATATTTGTGAGTTTAACACTGTCTTTTAATGCTACCTGTCTATTTTGCCCATTAGTTGATATAGATTCTTCATTAAGGAGATACTCTTTACTTTTGGTACGTTTTTGGGATGACTGATACTGGTTGTTCCTTTCTGTGTGTAGTAATTCTTTCAGAAGTTCTTGTAAAGCAGGCCTGGTGGTGATGAAATCTCTGAGTGCTTGCTTGTTTGTGGAAATTTTTATTTTTTCTTCATTTATAAAGCTTAGTTAGGCTGGATATGAGATTCTGGGTGAAAATTCTTTCCTTTGAGGATATTGAATTGAGACCTGGTCTCCAAAAAAAAAAAAGGCTCCATGTGGCTTCCTCCAAAAAGCCAGACATGGCCCCCCAGCCACAACTTGCAGGCTACTCTCATTGCAGCCTGTCCAGGGTCTGGGTCCGTCTCAGCAGCATGAGGGCGCACTAAGGGTGTTGCTAGAGTGTGTTGTGTGTGCCATGTCCCCACTGTGAAGGATGAAGAGCGAGACCCTCAGGACCCACATCCTCAGAGCACCACACACTGTGCCACCCAGAGAGGGTGGGTGGGGCCAAGCAGTGAATGCCTCCTTGTGTGCCAGCCACTGTGGGCACTGGCCAGCAGCCCTCTGGTGATGAGAGGTCCTTCTTTTTATGCACAATGCCCTGTCCTCTGTGATTGTTGTAAGAAACACTATTCCTGGGTTTGTCAGGAGTTATCACTGTGTCTCTATGAACCTGGATCCGCTGTCCTGTCAGGATGTGGTCAGCCTTGGGGCCGGCATTGTCTAGTCTGGCCCTGGGCACCCCAGAACTCAGCTGTCCTTGCCTGACAGACCATCCTGTTCCTTGGCCTGGTTCATCCCCCAGCTTCCTGGCAAAGTTCCTCCTCCCTGAAGCAGGAAAAGGCTGAGATGAATGCCAAAGAAGTGGAGCTGTGGGCCCGGGAAGATGGCGCTGCCAGGTGAGGGTGGGCACTGAGCTGTCCACCCCACCCGTGACTGGATGTGGCTGTGCTGCGGTGGGAGGGGTGGCACTGATGTGGCCACAGCACTCTGGAGATGGCCCTTCAAGGAGGAAAGTGAGCCTGGCTGGACCCCATCAGCAGTTCAGTGTCCGGGCAGGAAGGGACAGCATCTTGCCCCCAGGAGGCTGCGGTCTGGGCAGGAGACCCAGAGTGGTCATGTGTTTGGAAGGCAGCTCTGGGCCAGCCAGGGGATGGGAAAGCCTTCCCACCTCCAGGGAGGCGTGCACAGCTCTGCCAGTGCCTCTCTCCCAGGGCCATCGCCAGGTCCCAGGATGAGCAAGATGGGCAGCCCAGGCAGGTCCCTGTAGACAACAGGGGCTGGGCTCGGGGCCAGGGATGGGGACTGGGAAGGGACACCCAGTAGCCAGTGAGGAAGCAGGTATACGACTTGGAAAGAAAAGCTTTATTTTTAGTTTCAACCAGTAGGGCAATATCGACTTCATCATGTACTTTTACATAAATGCCAAATAGCAAAATAACAGCTAGAAAATAAACAGTTTGTGAGTTTGGAGATCAAGTACTTTATCTGTCTTGAGTGTCATCTATCCTGGAATTCAGCCAGGGCTTAGGAGTAGTAAAGTATCAGGAAATGCTACAGAGAGCCATTCTCTAGCTGCAGGGTGGCGGCCCGGCACTGACCGAATGTGGGCGGCTCAAAGCAGGGAGCGGTGCAGGCGCTGTTTCTGCATTGCCTGCAGCCTCCTCTGCCGCTCAGCAAAGTTGTTCTTCAGGGTCTGCTTCAATGCTGGCAGGATGGCACGCTCCGCTACAGGCATGGGGCTCAGAAGAAGGCTGGGGTGGGTAGAGGAACTGTCTCTGTGAGCATCCGCAGGAGAGGAGTGTGCTGGGGGTGGGGCCTCTGTGGCCCTCACGAGGCCCAGTGAGGCCTCAGCATGCTCTGCTTCTGCGCCGCTGCCCTCCCTTCTCCACTCCTTCCCTGGGGCCCAGGCGGCAGCGCTGTCCCACTGTCCCCATGCCTGCAGGACTCACCATTTCTTGGGGAGGCTCTTGGTGGAGACCTTGGGGAACTGCATGGCTTCCTGGTCCCTGGGTGAAGGACGAGTCAGCAGTGAGCCCCAGACAGGCCCCCGGAGATGAGGTAGGGGTGCACCCGGCACTCACCTGGGAGAGCTAGACCCAGCCTCCTCTGGAACCACCTGGGGCCTCTGGCTCCCTTCCAGGAGGGACTTGAGGTGCTGCAGCTAAAAGGCAGGGGCAGGGCATGGTAGGGCCCGAGGTGGTGCCAGACTGCCCAGGGCCAACCCCACCATGCAGGGCCTCACCTCTTGGGCCTGCAGGTGGTTGGCATTCCACAGCTGGCGGATGAGCACTTCACACTGCTGAAGTGTGGTGGGCTTTCGCAGGTAAGGGGGCAAAGTCATCAGGGGGTACACCCCCATCATCTGCCTGCCCTGGTGCTGGCTGCCCCCTGCACAGGCAGCCTCTGCATGACAGGCCTCTGTCTTCTCGTCTCTGAAACAGTCATTGCAGCAGCCAGAGGTAACCTGCCCAGCTGCGTCTAACCACACTCCCAGCATACCTCCCCAGGCAGCACCCAGGCCAGTGTGGGGAAGAGGGCCGGCCTCCCTTTTCCCACTGACCAGGGTGCTCTGGGCACCAGGTGAGAGTCTCTGGAACTGGGACCTGCCCCTTCCTCCCTCTGAAGGTGCCCTAGGGTCATATGTGCTTCAGTAGGTGCCCAGCTAGCTGCCAGGCTGTCCTTGGTTGTGACCCAGTGGGACTTTTTGCTCCAGGCCTGGTCTCAGGGGACATGCAGAGATGCAGGAGCCTGCCATGCTGCTTGCACTGCTGAAAGTGTGCGCTCACAGCATCCCAGGACAGTCCCGAAAACTCAGAGACCACCAGAGCCTGGCCCGCCTCTGTCCTGCTGGCCTAGTGCCCCCCAAAGGCAGGCTGTGGCCAGGGAAGCAGGCAGTGACCAGCTCCAGGAACACAAGTCACTTTTCTTGGTAAGAATATTCCTTTGTTTTCTTTCATCTGAGAAAGTGGTTGAGGGCTGCTGCTGGCCCCTCTTGTGGACTCAGGTCAGCCGGATACTCTGCAGGACCCTCAGGGGAGGGAGGAAGACAGCGCCCACCGATGGGCAGGGCGTGGCCATCATTTGGTTTCATGAGCCCTGGAGACCGGCTCCTGGTGCAAGGGCAGAGCAGTTGGCTGACTGCAGGGCAGGAGCCTAGTAAATGTAGTCCTGGGGCCCTTAGGGAGCAGGCAAGACTTACTTGGCCTGCCCTTGCACCCCAGGAACCTTGTCCATCTTGCTGTGGTGACACAGGTCCACTTTCTGGGGGACATCAGCTTTCAAGTCTTGCTTCTTGAAGGAGCTGGGATGGGGCCTGGCCTTGCCTTGAGAGTTGGCTGCAAGTCAGACCCGACGGGGCCAGTCACTGCCAGCACTAACAGCTGCCTCCCACGCCTTCCAGGATGAGCTGCATGTACCCAACAAGCCCCAGCCCCTGCCTCAGGCTCCTCCTCTGTAAAGGGAAGCCTAAGAAGGTTCTGGAAGGAATCAATGAGGTTCTGAGGGTGAAGCCCATGGGTGCTGCCTGTCCATGAACACTCTGGAACAATTGAAAGTGGAAGCTAGCTCCATTCTGGGTAAAAGAAAACTGCAGGCGAGGCCTAGGACCCAGGCTGCACGGATTTCCCCTTCAAGGACAAGGGCCACCAAACACCTGGGCCCATCACAGGAATGGCAGGAACTAGGGCTGGGGCTGAGGAAGATGCCTGGCCTCCAGTGGAGGCAGAGTGGGGAGAAGAGGCTCTCTGCTCCCTGCTCACTCTGCAGAAGGGGCCATGAGCTCAGGGCTCTGTGGGCAGTGCCATCCTTCCTGTGTTCTGCTGGCTTGTGGCAGGCACACGGGCCAAGCAGGGCTTCTGCAGGTCAGCCAGGGCACATCCTTCTCCCTAGAAGGCCACCCAGGGAGGCCCTCCTGACCACTTGCTGGCCCTGCCTGGGGTGGCTTCCCTGAGGCCTCACTGCCCTCTGTGACTGGCCCCAGTCCTGCCCACTCCCAGTCCCCTCCTGGTGGTTTCAGCTTGCAGGGCTCCCTTCATCTGCCCCTTCACCCCCAAATCCTTGAGCTTGGCCCAGCAGAGGGCTTTCAGCTCCCTGGTCAGCGCCCCTAGGGGCTACCCAGGCTGGGGTCCCCATGGGGCACTCGCCCCTGTGAGCACATGGAGGATGCTAGCCTGCTCACCCGGCACCGTGGAATTTGACATGGACTTGACAGACTGGAAGCTTGACATGGAGAGGCTGCCTGCGGGATAGTGTACAAGGTCGGCACTGCCACCTGCAAGATGCCCATGCTTGCCTCCTGGCCTGTGTGTCTGTGAGGAGCCCTCCCTCAGCCTGGCAGGGCTGTGTCCTCCCTGCTAAACCCATGCTCTGTTGATGCAACCCCAGACCCAGCAAGCGCCCACTGGAAAGGTGGTTTCCTGAAGGGCCATCTGGAAAGCAGAAGGGCTTGGGACACATGGAACAGCAGGTCCCGAGGGAGAGCATGGCCTCTTTCTGTATCCCATTAGAGTCCCCAGCACGGCACGACTGGTACTGCCAACTAGGCCACACTTTGCCCAGACCAGCTCACTGGAGTTGCCACAGCGGCTAGGGAAAGGCCCTCACTCAACCCCATTCTCCATGTCTCCCCAGAAGGGAGCGCCCTGGCCACTGCCCCAGCTGGGATGTTCCCAGGCTGGTGCAATTCACCAGTCAGACGTCCTCCTGATGTCAGCACTCGTCACAAAGGTAATGAGGAGTGAGCTTGAGACCTCAACCCAGAATCCTGGGCTGAGCTGGGGGGCCACCACTGGGATGGGAAGTGCCTTGGGTAAGTGGCAAGGAAGCAGGACTCTGCTTCCTCCCCTTGTCCCCATGGTTGCTGCCCAGATGGCAGGAAGGGATCCCTGGATGGTGTGTGCCCAGAGCCCCTCCCCCAGGATGTCAGGACTCAGAGCCACTGCACTGGAAACCCTGGGCCTGGCGACAGCAGCAATCTGGGGCAAAGACCCAGTGGGGCACGAGCTGCCCCAGGGGTCCCCTCCCATTCCAGGAGCTCTGTTTGGAGGAGGGAGGGTCTGCGAAGCACCCTGGGCCACCTCCCCACTGCACTGACCTCAGGCCCTCGACTCACTGAGAGCAGCACCTGCTGTGCTTGGCTGCGTAACATCATCCAGCCATGGCTAGGGGCAGCAGCATCTGTCCAGGTCCCCCAGAACCTGTCCCCACTGGGTTGGCATACAGGGGCCAGTGCAGCCAGGTGGTCAAGGACAGTCTGGAGGGACTTCCCTGGGTGGCAGGAGCTCCCCTCAGGCACTGAAGGGCCCAAGTCTCACCTTTCTTCTGTAACTTCTGATTCATTATGAGCTTGTAATGGAGCTCTGAAAGCAAGCACATGCTCTCCTCAGCACTTGTGAAGCCACAACCATTTTGGGAGAAGCCTGGCCTGTCCTCTCCCCGTGCTGAGCCCGAGAGTCCTGGCTCCCCACTGGCTGACTGGGCTCTGCCCCAAGGGTTCTGCTCTCCACCATGCCTTTGCCGTGGGTGTCAGGCCAGGAATGCCCCTGCCTGTTCCCTAAGCAGAGTCCACCAGGCACCTCAGCCTCATCCTCCCATCTGAGATGACTACAGGGCATCACGCTGCCAGGCAGGGCCTGGGATCCAGGGGCACAGAGGTGAGCTCTGAAACCCCGGTGTGGATGAGCAAATGCGGTGTCATGATCCCGTGACTGTCAGGGACTGGGGCGAGGCTCAGAAGAGGGGTCCTGACATAACAGACGCCTAGAGTTTTAAGGCAGCAGCAGGGAGTGGGGCAGGAGAGGAGGCCGCAGGCACTGGTGCCCTTGCTGGAACCCTCCTGAAGCAGGAGCCAGGAGCGGAGCCAGGAGCCACCCACATCCTGGTGGGCCCTCTTTCTGCTCGGCGGGGCCATGGGGGCCGGGAGCTGCTAAGGGTGCAGTTGGGAAGGCCCAGCCCGAGGACAACGTGGGCACAGGCTAAGCAGGGGTATGGCTGCTCCGACCCTGTGTGTTTAGCTGGAGGACATTCACTGCGCTGCGAGATGGCACTTGAGCATGCTTCCCCTCTACAAAGTTTTTAACAGAGGTGTGCCTAACCTTGGTGGAAAGGAAAAGGCTGGCGGGGTCAGTGTCTGAAATGTAGTGGCCCCATGAGGCAGGCAGACAGGGAGGGGAGTCATGCGAGTCTCCGTCGGGGGCAGGGGACAGCTCAGCATGGCAGGACGCCCTGTGTCTCCCCAGGCGTGTGCTGGAGCTCATGGCTGTGTTTCTGTGCTGCGGTAGCCGCAGTGTTCAGGGCGCCTGGGGAGGCAGGGCTGGCCTAGAGCCCCGCGCCGGCTCACCCTTATTTTCCCGCTTCAGGTGCTCGATCTCCTCGTGGAGCTTGGCCAGCGTCTCCGAGTGCTGCTGCTGCAGAAACTGCAGGCTCTTCTCCAGGACCAGGACCCGCTTCTGCGGGTCGCTCTGCACGAGCTGCGGGCTCGGCGGCCCCAGGGACTGGACGCCCACAGCGGGGCGCTGGCGCCAGGTAACCCGGGAGCCTGGGGTCGGCGAGCTGGGGTGCCACGACCCGGCCGCCACCCCCGCACTGATCATATTGCCATTGTCACGTACCCTGCCGCTGCCACTGCACCCCCGGCTCAAATGCCAGGCCGCCCGGGCCTAGTGCCCCGTCACCATGGAAACGGAAGCCACTGAGGGGGCGGGGCGGGCGGCGGGGGCGGGACCTGTGGCTGGCTCTTCCGGAGTTATTTAAAGGCCTCCAGGGCCAGGCGCGGTGCCTCAGGCCTGTCATCTTAGCACTTTGGGAGGCCGACACGGGGATCACTTGAGGTCAGGAGTTCGTGACCAGCCTGACCAACTTGGCAAAACGCTGTCTCTACTAAAAATACAAAAGTTAGCCAAGTGTGTTGGTGCGCGCCTGTGATCTCAGCTACTCCGGAGGATGAGGCAGCTGCCCAGACTGGTCTCAAACTCCTGGGCTCAAGCAATCCTTCTGCCTCAGCCTCCCAAAGTGTTGAAATTCTAGGTATGAGCTTTTGTGCCTGGCGTGTGGTTACTTTTGAATGTCCTAGTCCTAAATATCTGGCTCCCAAGAAGAGAGAAAAATGAAGGCAGGAGGAGGTGCTGATCCATAAAAACCTCCTGGAAGGCGTGTCCCCAGGGAGGGGGTGAAGGCTGAGGAGGGAGGTTGCAAACATGGCAGCGGAGATCGCAGTGGTGGCTGCCTGCCTCTTTGCCTGCACTTCACAATCAGAAGCAGCCATCACGGATTAGAGAACAGGTCCCCAATATTTGGAGGAAAGGCTCGTAATTGCCCGCTCTGGTTCCGGCAAGCTATAGGGAAGCTACTGGAGAAATGCATGCATGGCTGCTTGCAACACCAATTTAAATACTAATTTCTTCTGAAAATACCCTCACCGACCCACCCAGAAATAATGTGTCACCAGATATGTGTGCATCCAGTAGCCCAGACAAGTTGACATATAGAATTAACCATCACAAGTCCACCCCTTGTCAACCTGGCACCCATACACATCTCCTTAAACCATACTTAACTTCCCAATAAATGCAGTAACAAAGCCATGGTGTTAGCAGTGGAAGGTGTCCAAGTGCAGTGAATCCGGACGGGTCTGCAGCAACTTCAATTCTTGGTTCCTCAGAAGAAAGAATTTGACTGAGGGGCATAAAGCAGAAAAAGAGACCAAAGCAAGTTTCAGAGCAGGAGTGGAGGTTTTAAAGGCTTTAAAGCAAGCAAGAAAGGAAAGTACGCTTGGAAGAGACCTAAGCAGGCACATGAAGGTCAAGCTAGCTTAATTTTTACAGTGAGTCCTCTCTCCGGTGTGGTGGCTCACACCTGCAACCTCAGCACTTCAGGATGCAGAGGCAGGCGGATCACTCAAGCTCACGAGTTTAAGACCAGCCTGGCAACATAGTGAGATTCCGTCTCCACACAAAAAAATTTTTAATGGCAGGGTGTGGTGGCGTATGGCTGTAGTCCTGGCTACTTGGGATGCTGAGGCAGGAGGATTGCTTAAGCCCAGGAGTTAGAGGCTGCAGTGAGCTGTGATGATGCAGTGTACTCGAGCATGGACAACATAGCAAGAACTTGTCTCAAAAGAACGTAGTCCTCTTTCATTTATATTGGAAATGTCAGGGTTGTTGGTGAGAGCTGGCCTTTAGGGGACCTTGCTCTTGGATGTCCAAGGGGAAAGATATAGATTTCTGATTGCACAGGGCCTCTGCTTGTGGGTTGCCTGCACAATATGATCAGAATCTGAGTCACCTTGGATCATGAGGGCACTGGTACATCCTAGAGGTAGCAGGTGTTGGTCATGGAAGAAAGTGGGCCATGAATGGGCTCCGGGGAAGAGCATTGCCTGGGTAGCAAGGAGGGGGATGCGGAGGTGCAGGTGGCAAGGGTGGTGTCAGGCAAACCTGAAGCTCCACTGCCAGAGGCTCCAGGCCACGTGGTCTGAGAAGCATGTGGATTTGGCCTAACAGCAGGGAAATGTGGCCCAATGGCAAAAAGTCGATGGCATCCTAGTGCTTGAAGAGGCAGTGGCAACGGTTAGGATAAACCACTCTGGAGGCATCCAGGGGTGGAGAGATGAGGGCGTAGTTCCTGCCTCCAGCCTGGCCTCCACGCTCGATGCTCCTCCCAGAGCTTCCACCTCCTTGTGCCCCAGACAGAACTGCTTCGCCTGAGTTGCTCCAATTCCAGGCCTTCCCCAGAATTCCCCCCACCAACCAAGTGCCTCCTGGCCAGGATCCCCCCCACTGCATTTTTCTTCTGCTCTCGTCCCAGCAATCCGATTTTCTCTGCTGAGAGCTCTTGGCAAAAATTAAATCCCATTTTGTTGTGAGTTCCCTATCCCATACCTGGAAGCAGCTGGAACCCAGCTGCCCACTGCTGCCCTTGCTCCCCAGGCAGGAGCCACTGAGCACCAGATGCCCTTGCAGCCATTGCTATCCAGGTCTCAGCCACCAAGACCCTGACTGCTAACTCAGCTTTGCTGTTCTTGGTTCTCAGTATGTTGTGTCTGCCCCTGCTCCTGGCCAGACAGTTCAGTTCCCAGCCACTCCCTCAATCCTTGAAGCTTCTGGAAGCCACAGACATGGCGACCTATGTTCCAGGTGGTCAGCTTTTGAGACAGGGTTTCACTCTGTCACCCAGGCTACAGTGCAGTGGTGTGATGATGGCTCACTGCAGCCTTGACCTCCTGGGCCCTGGTGATCCTCCCACCTCAGCCTCCCAAAAGTAGCTGGGACCACAGATGTGAGCCATCATGCCTAAGGCAAAATTCACGTGGCTCAGACCCAGCAGGGACTTTCTGTCACAGGTACTTCAGTATTAGCATGCACCTTGGTTTTGCTGCTGTCGAGTCTACTGTGTCCCTAAACAAGGAAAGCAAAGGAAGCCAGAGGCCTAGGCCTGTGGACACTGGGAGAGGGGCCGACAGGGTGCCCGATGGCTGTTTCTGCAACCCCCGCATGCTCAGGGTCCCTCTGGGGTAAACTTCCTAGAGACTGAGCGCAGGTGCCAGAAGACTCAGAAGCAAGGACAAGTTTATTCAGATCCATGTTTGAGTTACAAGCTTGGTTTGATTTTTGGTCACAAGTCCTAAAATGCCATTATTCTGAGTTTACATCAAAATACAAAGCCCAACATTTACAGTTTGAAAAACATTAAAGCAAACCCCCAGCACCCCACACCGAAAACAAAGGCTTGGTTTGAAAATCACCACCAAGAGGCTGTTCTCCCTGGTGTGTCTGTGGGGGAATGAAGGTGTGGGAGGCCCCATGCTGGTTTCTGTCAGAGAATCTGTAGTTTTGAATACTTAAGTATCATTAAACGGTTGCTGTGTCTTCGAGTACTTGATGTTAGTGAAGCTGTGACGCTTCCGACCATTTCCGGCTGCAGAGCAGAAACTGGCAGGATCTGATGCCATCAACCCAGCAGTGTCCCCAGCGCCTGAGGACCAGCACCCGTCTGGGACAAGGCATGGGCTGGCTGCTGCTCTGGGTGATGTGCTCGATGGACTGCGGTCTGCAGTGAAGCACCTGGGCTCGGGAGAATCTCAGGCTCCTGAAACATGAGCTTCTATGGCCCAGTCTTGGAACAGCTGGGAGAACATGAAGAATGCCCCTCACTCACAGTGAAGAATCAAAGGAGAGCCACTCTCTCTTTTTTTTACATCTGATGTGTTAGCAGACAGCCACTCTCTAGTGTTTTCAGGGCTCTTTTAGAAACTTTGATTCTTCCCTGGAGTAGAGGTTGAGCCACCATACTGGTCCCACACAGGGAGAGGAGACACCACAACCCACTCTGCCCACCTCAAGGCCAGCCAGTGGACAGGCCAGGCCTGAGCGGCCGCTGGCAACCTGGCTCCTGAGCTTGATGCGGCAGAGTGCCCAAATGGACACTGGAAAAAAGTTCCTCAGAGCTGGCTTAGCCCTGAGTCCTTGGTGGAGGGAGGGAGGAGCCGGCGCTGAGCTCTGTGCTGTCACAGAGCATGGCTGTTGAGCCCAGTAGCCACTTCTTTCCTTTACCCCGCCTGCCCTCCCTTCTCAGTTCTGTTTCCTCCAGATGCCTCTGTGGCTGCAGGAACCACCCTGAGAAACCCGAGGATGACCATATTCCCTTCTGGAGGAGTTCCCAGGTCCTCTCAAGTCCAAGGGTGGGGCTGTGTGGCAAATCCCCCCTGCCCTCTGCTCTGAAGACTGCTGGCGCCCTCAGGGCTGGTGCAGCTTTCCTCGCTCTGTCAGCAGCGTCATGGCTGAGGCGTAGAGGATGTAGCCCAGGGTGAGCAGCAGCGTACAGGGCAGGGGCCCAATGCAGAACAGGGAGGCCACAAAGAAGGCCAGCAGCAGCGAAAGCAGCGTTCGATAGCTGCCCAGGAAGCGCAGGCTAAGCCTGGGGCCACGAGCATGGCCAGCCACCTGCGTCTGCCCTACAGGGCTCAGCAGGTGTCTGCCGGCCACCCCAGGTTCTGTGAGGTGGTAGCGACAGAAGCTACCGAGGAAATCGTCCCGGGAACACAGAGTCACCATCTGGCCTGCAAACTGAAGAACAGAGGCACAGGGGCATGGGGAGGTGGCACCACAGGCCTCAGAATAGCAGCGCCCCACCCACACAGGCCACCCCCCGCCCCATGACTGCATCCCAAGCAGGAGCATCCAGAACCCTCTCTGAAGAGGCCAGGCCGGCCTTCCTGCCCACTCACTCTGTGGTTGATGGCAGACGACAGCCTGAAGAGTGCACGGACCAAGCTGGCAATCTCATAGCTCCGGATGGGCTGCAGCTCCGGGTCTCCCTGGTACTCAATTTCAAACCTGCGCAGCCCGTTGATGATCTAGAAACCCAGGCCATGGGAATGGGTCAGAAAACAGCCCTGCACACAACTCAGAGGAGCCAAATGGCCTCTGCTCGTGGGGGGAGGAGGGAGCTGAGGATGGGTCAGGGGCCAGTCCACAAGCCTCTGGGACCCCGACCTCTCACCTGGTACCGGCCCAGAGGCGTGAGGATGAGTCCGTCCTCACCCACGATGCAGTCGGGGAGCTGCTTCTTTCCATTCTCATCCTGCGTTGTGCCCAAGGCGAGTGTGAACTGCCTGAGCTGCGCGTCGCTGAGCTGCCAGAGAGAAGTGCCTCTGCCCTCAGCATCAAGGTGAAGGGAGGAAACCGGTCTTCACCCCACTGGCCTCCAACAGTGGCAACAAGGGGACCCAGACATGACGCTCGGGATGTGGCCTGCCTCCCCCAACACTGGATCCATCTGTGTGGTGCCTGGGACTTGGTATGTGGCTGACCACAGGCTGGGGGCAATGACTCCTGTGGGGTGATCCCAAACCATCCCTTGACCCTTCCTCACCTTGACCCTTCCCTGATGGCTGCGGGACAGGCCCTATAGTTCATACCCGGAATATCTGGCGCAAGTACTCCAGGGCCTTCTCCAGATATTCATCCGTCTTCCGGATGCTGTCCTGCCCCATCTCATCCAGGTCATTGCCTGGGTAGGAGCCATTGGTGTCTGTGGAACCAAAGCCCAGCCACGACAGGAAGGAGTAGCCAGCTGGGCTCTCCGCACACTGATCTGAGATGGACTTGGCCGTGTGCTTGGCCTGCGTGATGAGCTGAGCAAGGCGCAGGACCTACAAGGGAGGTGCGGGCAGGTCACCGGCAAGACAGGCCTGTGCTGCCATCCAGGCAAGCTAGCCGGGTGCCCCAAGAGCAATGCACAGCCAGACCTCTGAGTGTCAGGAGGAGCAGCTTCCACCAGAGGACTTTTAAAGACCAAAGGATGATCTTCTAAATGTGAAATTTTCCCACAAACACTGCCTTCGTTATCAGGAAAAAATGAGACTTTATTGAAATGGTGGAAGGAGATGCGGCATCGACTCTACACCCAGCCTCCCTCCTTCCTGCCGGAACCAGCACCTCCCGGGCTCTGCTCAGCCCCACGGCTCCAGGGGCCCTGAGGATGGGCCCCGCCGATCCACTCACCAGGCTGCGGGCCTCGGGCCCGAACATTGGGGTGTACTTGCAGTCCTGGCCCTCCAGGCTGTACACGTGGCTCTTCACCTTGAAGGAGGCATCAGTGACTGCTAGTGGCCACGGTGACAGGAAGCTGCCAGTAAATGTGGGGGCCGTGAAGAGTCGGTGCTGGCGGTGGGGGATAACCAGCTCTGGCTCCAGGAACAGCTGCTCACCTGGAAGGCAGGAGATGAACTGGTGCCCATTTCCAGGGCACAGAGTACCCACTGCTGCCCTTAGGATTCTGGGGTGCCTCAGAGGTGTCTGGAAAGCCATGACCCAGAGGTGTCCTCCTGAGGCCCTGCCTGGCAGCATCTCCCACACAGTAGGCAGCTGACATGAGCCCCCAGCAGTGTTTGCAGGAGGCAAACACCAGGAGGAGAAACAGAAACCAACACCCGACCCAGCCAAGATAAATGCATGGCAGAGACCAGGCTCACCTCCTGAGACGGCAGTCACAAGTCACCCTGAAGAAATGGCAGGGCCATGGGGCCACAGCTTGGACTGTGTAGCCCCTGCCTGTTGGCACACCTGTGGTCCCCTGCCTAGTGCCTGGTGGCTGCAGGGCAGGCAGAGTTCAGCCAGTCTGACTTCACTGCACAGATGTGCCCCAGGAGTCTCCATAGCATCCTTTATCAGGGCTCACTCTAGAAGCGTGGGTCCCTCTTAAAAGGCAGCCATCACTAGCTAAGGGCCTGACCCTTGTCTGCCCGCTTGCCCCATGCCGAGGACTTACCTTTCTGGATCATCTCAGCCAGGTTGGGCTGGGCAAAGACTTTAGCCACTCGGAACACCATGAGTGCGTGCTTGGGGCTGACCAGGTCTGTGCGGAGTGCACGATTCAGGAAGCCCACGAACAGCTTGGTGTACATCAGCAGGTTCTCCTGGACAAAGGGCGCCCTGGGGACCAAGGTGGCAGGTAGGGGTCAGCCTTCCCACTGGAGGTGGGGCTGCAGCAGTCCATGCCCCTGACACCCCTGCTCGTCCTTGGGCTTACAGACTCTCCCTGGCCAAGGTGACAAGCTGTCATAGAGGACAGCTGAGGGGGCCATGGGTAGGCAGGACAGAGGCAAGTGAGATCCAGGCCCTCTGAGGACACTGCGTCCTTAGCAAGGCTGAGGCCCATTCCAAGTGGACTAAGACCACCACGGCAGAGACCAGCCCAGAGCCTGAGGGAAGGTCCCGCAGAGGATTCAAAGGGGAAGACCTTGGGCAAGGAAGGGAGAGGCCAGTGGCCACACCAGGTGCCATGGAAGCCTGGGGTCTGCTGTGAGGATCAAGAAGGGGATGAGGGAAGGCAGCCACAGCTCTCCTCTGTGCTGGTGAGAAAGGGTCAAGGATGGTTTCAGATCACCATGAACATTCATCTGGGCCAGAAGAGAGAAGGGACAGGGCAGGATGGGTCACCCACTGCTTCCATGAGAAACCAATTCTAGGGCCTGGCAAAGTTGAGCCTAGGAAAGGTTGGCCTGTGCTCCACTCGTTGGGGGCTGGGACAGGAGCCCAGGAGGCCACCAGGTCCAGGCTGACCCCAGCAAAGGCCGCTGGCTTGGCCTCCACCCACCAGAACAAGGTCCACCAGGAGAGCCAGTGGCACCGAGGCTCACCATTTCTCCGACACACACCGGGGCTGGGAGTCGCTGCCTGGAGGCTGCTTGTCAGGCGCATACCGCCACGGCTGCAGGTAGCTCAGCCACATCTCCAGGACCTGTGGGTGGGGTGTGTGCTGAGGGCCAAATACTCCAGTGGCCTGGTGCCTGGGTCCCAGGCAGCAGCTGGGTGGGACTGGCTCTGCCCATGTCCCCCAGAGGGCTCGAGAGAAACGCACACAGCCCAATGAGGTTTGGCTCTCTTGCTGGCCCTTCAGAAGCCAAGGTGATGGGTGAGCCTTCCCCAGCCCGTGGGGCCCAGTGCTCCCTGGCTGGATAAGGGTAAGAACCTGCCCAGCACCAGACATATGGGACAGGGAAGGGCTTTCCTGAGAGCTGGCTTTGGAAACTGAAACAGAAAGAACCATGTGGCTTCCCAGGCCCCCTCCTTGCCAAGGCCTGTGTCTACACTTGCTGTCTTCCTTCATCTGCCCCAGAGGACCTCCCTCCTCGGGGCACACAGAGGACCCAGGCACAAATGTGACAGGGCCAACACTCACAGCTCTGAACGATGCATCCAGGGGCCAATGGCCAAAGCAATGCTGCAGGAAGAGGTAGAGTTTCTGCTGCACGAACCTTGGGACAGCGGCCCTGCAGGAGATGGGGAGGGTCACCTGCCTCTTGCTCGGTAAGGAGGCCCTGCTCACAGATGAGCCTGAGGCTCCCATCAGCGAGGGTCGGCTCCACCCGGCACCTCTGGGAAGCTTAGCCCCATTCTTCGGAGGAAGAAATAGAGGTTAAGAGAGGTCAGGGAACCTCCCAAGGACATACAGCACGCAGGCAGTGAGTCAGTGTGGTTCCTGCACACACCTCACCTCAGTCCCACACAGACAGCCCCGGTGGGCCTGGGAGCCAGGGCAGCCCCAGCCCTTTTCCTGACAGGGGTGGGAGAAGCAAGAGACAAGAGCATGGCAGGGTCTCTCTGGCCAGTATGGGGAGAGGCTCTGGGAGTCAGCTGAGCGGGTGAGAAGGCACCTGCCTAGGCCTCCAGAGGCATCATATGCTCTATGAGCAGGAAGGGACTCCCCTCACCCTGCCCCCCAATGCCCTGGGGTGAGGTCACGGTGGGTGACACCTGAGGAGGGAAAAGCAGAGGAGACAGCAGAGGCGGGAAGCTGCAAGGGCCACGCACCGTTTGAACTCCTCCAGGGGGCTGGTGGCGTGGGAGTGGGCAGAGGGCGAGGCCTGCTCTGGCTTCAGGCTGTTGGCAAAGGCATGCAGGTGCTTCAATAGCAGGCGCACCACCAGTACATGCTCCTCAGTGGGTGTGAACGACTCCTAGGTGGAGGAGCAGGGGTCAGGGCCAGGCAACGGCCACAGCGCCCACAGCACTCAGCATCCAGGTCTGACCACATCCCACCCTGGGCTGGTTGCTCTGCTTCCCCACAGGAGGCATGAGCCAGGCCAGGAGTGGAGCCACCTCCTGGGGCCCACTATGCCTGGCACCCAGAGGATGTGCCTTGCACTGCTTGAACTATAACCAGCCTGTGGTAGGGGAAGTGCTTGGCCCAGTACCCACACAGCCCCCTGGGGGAGGGCTCGCTAAGACAGACATATCTGCAGAGGGCCTCCCAGCCCTGCTTCTGTACTGCTGCATACCCACCCACAGTGAGTAGCACAGGCCGAAGCCCAAGAGATGCCCTTAGGTACTGTTGCCTGCCTTGATCCTCAGGGCAGAAGGCTAGCATCACCCCCAAGCTCTGGATCCAGGGTCTCGCACCTGCCTCCCAAGTGTGTGCAGAAAGCACATGGAACCCAGGCAAGGTGCCTCAGACCTGTAATCCCAGCACATTAGGAGGCTGAGGTATAAAGACTGCTAAGGCCAGAAGTACGAGATTAGCCTGGGCAACACAGGGAGACCCTGACTCTACAAAAAATTTTAAAGAGTTCGCTGGGCATGGTGGTGCACACCTGTAGACCTAGTGACTCAGGAGGCTAGAGTGGGAGGATCACTTGAGCCTAGGAGTTCAAGGCTGCAGTAAGCTAGGATCATGCCACTGCCCTCCATCCTGGATGACAGAGTAAGACCTTGTTTAAAATTAAGAATCCCATGGCTTTGCTTTCCTCCCCAATTCCTTCCACCTGCTCCTTATTCTGGACACAGCCAGGTGAGGGCTTGGCCCATGAGAAGCCCCAGGCATCACTTCCTCTGTTGCCCAGGGACCTATGGTCAGGAAAACCCCAAGACAAAAGCAGTCAAGCATACAAAGCCAAACCTTTTTTTTTTTTTTTGGAGACAAGGTCTCCCTCTGTCACTCAGGCTGGAGTGCAGTGGCACAATCTCAGCTCACTGCAACTTCTGCCTCCCAGGTTCAAGTGCCTCAGCCACAGGAGTAGCTGGGCAAAGGGTGAGAGTACAAGTGTGCCCCACCACGCCCAGCTAATTTTTGTATTTTTAGTAGAGACAGGGTTTCATCATGATGGCCAGAATGGTCTCAAACTCGTGATCTCAGGTGATCCACCCACCTTGGCCTCCCAAAATGATGGGATTACAGGCCAAACTTTTGATTTGCAACATACAAGCAGAATCCTGGAGACCTAGCCGAAGAGGAAAGCCTTTTTGCTGGCCATGGGCTTCCTCCAGTTACTCAGCATTGGGAGGGCAGGTGGGAGCATTAAGAGTGGATGACGGAAGGGGAGTGGGGGCGCTGAGAGTGGTACCCTGAGTCTGAGTGGACACGCTCACCTCTCCACGCTTTGTTCCCCAGCCCTTTGTGCCTTAACACATCTGTGATGCTAAGGCTGGTGCAGGGCCTGGCCTCCAGCTATATCCTGGGATGCTGCAGACCCCGAATGGGCCACTACCCATATTGCTGCCCACTCAAGTCTCCATCAGGAAAATGTCCCCACAGGTCCAGGTGACACACTCCACAGATCAGTGGCTGAGTCTGAGGATGGAGGTATGGGGTGGGAGGCATTTTCTTCTTTTTGAGACAGGGTCTCATTCTGTCACCCACACTGGAGTGCAGTGGCGTGTTCTCAGCTCACTGTAGCCTCTGCCTCCTGGGCTCAAGGGATACTCTCACCTCAGCCTCCCGAGCAGCTGGAACACAGGCACACACTACCATATCGAGCTAATTTTTGTATTTTTTTTTTTTTTTGTAGAGACAGGGGTCTCGCCATATTGTCCAGGCTGGTCTCAAACTCTTGAGCTCAAGCAATCTGCCTGCCTCAGCCTTCCAAAGCGCTGGAATGACAAGCATGAGCCATCGCGTCTGGCTATTTTCTTCTATCTGTATCTTTTAAGTCTTTGGGCAATGAATTTGCATTGTTTTGGAATAAAGATCCTTTGAAATCTAGGTGGAAAATTAAAAAAAAAAAAGGGAAGGAAGAGCCAGGTGAGGTGGCTAATGTCTGTCTGTAATCCCAACAATTTTTTAGGAAGCCGAGGCAGGCAGATCACTTGAGGTCAGGAGTTTGAGACCAGCCTGGCCAACATGGAGAAACCACGTCTCTACTAAAAAATACAAAAATTAGCCAGGCGGATTGCTCATGCCTGTAATCCCAGCCACTCAAGCGGCTGACAAAGGAGAATGGCTTGAACCTGGGAGGTGGAGATTACAGTGAGCTGAGATCATTTGTCACTGCACTCCAGCCTGGGCCACAGAGCAAGACTCCATCTCAAAAAAAAATAATAATAAGAAGAAGACAAGTATGAGGTATAATACCTGTACCTATACTGCCTGGCTAGAATGGCACCAGCGGGGTGGGAAGTTAGACCAGGGTCTTTCTCCTCCAGTCTCAGCCCTGGATCTCCCTCCGATCCTGGCCTGAGATCTTGAGCAGTGACATCCTCCCTGCGGCGCGGGGGAGGGGACGGCCTCCACAAGGGAACTGGAACACTGCCTTCCTCTGCTAGTGTACTTGCTCTACCTCACCTGGTCCTTCTGAAGGGTCTCAAGGGCTCAGTGTCTGCTCGTGCCCCAGCATGGGGCAATCGCATGGAACCCTCACAGGCTATATTCCTGTATTTGCTGAGCCAAACTTCTCCCTCAGCTCTACACCCCTCCTGGGCTGCCATGTTCCCACATGGAGCCCCTGGCCACAGTCGTACCTATTTGCTTCTTAAGGATGTGTCCCCAAAGCCCCACATTTCCCACTGGGTCCAGCCTCACAGCACCTCAGTTCACACCACCTGGGCCTCACTGGTTACCCCTCCCACCACGGGATTTGCCAGATGCTTCCTGGACACTGCCCTCCCTCTCTGACCCAAGCCCTCAGGTCCCTCCTCTGCAGTGGCTCCTGTGGAACAGGGGTGCCTCGGTGTGCTGTGGCCACCATCCCAGCCCAATGGCACACAGGGGCCAGCAGGTTTTCTCATCTTGTGCTCAAATTCCCATTCAATCACGTGTGCTCCTTCCCAGGTGAATGGGACAGATTCTGACTGCGAGCACAGCTCGTCTCCTCAGGCTCTCCAAGATTCATTAACTCTGCCATCCCTGAGCCCCTACAGGTCTGAACTTAGTTTCACTGACCTCAAATCCATCCACACGCTTGTCAATTTTGCCTAGACATCCACAGCCTCTATGAGGTTACCACCTCTATTGTCATCTGCCTCTGGAGATGTGCCTAAGTGGCCAGGGCTCCCTGGTGAAGGCCAGGCCCTGGCCAGGTTGTTAAGGACTGACAGCCTCTGTGGGCTATAAGGGCCAAGCCCCAGATTGTCCCCACCCCCGTCTGACATACAGGCTCTGAGTCACAGCACCTCCAGGCTGGGTGACAGTTCTGAACAAGGCAGAACCCACACGACCCGTAAGTCCCAGGCCTGTGTGTCTTCAGCTCCTTCCTGAGCGCCAGACCCTGCAGAGTGTGGGTAAACCAGGCCATGCACAGGCCTGAGGACTCCAGCTCTTCAAACCAGGGCCAAGCACAGGCCTCCAACACTGGAGAGCTTGTGACACCTCCACTGACCGGAAGCTTGGCCAGCCAGGGCCACATGCCCACATGCCTTGTTTTGCCACACAGCCACCACCCCCACCCCCAACCAAGCTGGTCTGCAAAGCCAGGGGCTAGGCCAGGCTGGAGGCTGACCCCTGCCTCCCCCAACACAGGGGCTTCGCTCTGCCTGGAACTAGCCTCTGAGTCACCAGCGGCCGGCCCTGGCCGGCCCCCTGCTTTGCCAGACACAGACATGCACTCTGGGCAGGGGGAAGGGAACGAATGAGCGCAGCCAGTACTTGGAAGGCGTGGAGGGCCTGGCGGCTGGGTTGGGCGGGGCTGTAGAGGGCGCTGGAGACACTGAGTCGGTGGTGCAGAACCTCCAGCTGAGACAAGGAATAGAAAGAAGCCGGAAGAGGCAGAAAAGCAGACAGGAGGATGGGGTGGGGAAGAGGGGAGAGAGGACCAGACACGGGAGGGGCAAGCAGAGAGAGAAAGAAAGCAATGAGGATGAGCCCAGAAGTGAAGAGAAAAAACAAAAACAAAAGCACGGTCAGTGACAATCCAAATAATTGCAGTCCCAGCAGCTGCGGACCAGCGCAGCTCCCCCCTCCGCAGTCAGGCCAGGGCTGTGGCCGCACTCTCCTCAGCCTTGGAGACCCGGGCAAGTGGACCCTCCAGGTTACCTGGGTGGCCCCTTAATGTCGCTGGGGCCTAAAGGCCTCCCCAGCTCATTGGAAGGGCCCAACTCACTGCCCTTCCAGATGGGGCCCACTCTCCCCAGCGACTCTGAGGTCACACTGTGTGTGGTACATGCATACCAGAGCCCTCCAAGAGCCCAGGGCCCTCGCTGGGACATGCTCTCAGCCACCATGACCTCAAGGTCCTGAGGCTCAGAAAAACCGGTGGAGCATGTTCCAGGAGGAGGACTCTGCACAGAAAAGACACATTGACTGGATTTCTCTGGGTTATCTTGAGAAATTTACCAAATTGGTATAAGACATGATCAATTCCTTTGTGTTTAGAACTCAATGTCCCCTCCATGAGTGACTCTCTGAGAACTGAGGACGAGAACAGGTCCCCAGGGCTAGCACAGAGATGAGCACAGGCTCAGGCCACCATGCGCTGCTCTCCACACCTCACAGTTTGGAAGTCAGGTGAGGTGGTGTACACATCAGTTCTGACTCCAGAAGGCAGCCTCTCCTATTGCACCAGGAACTCCTACCCTCCAGATATAGTAGGCTCCCAAGGTGGGATCTGGCCACAGCCACACACACCCAGAGGCAGCAGGAACCTGAGGCTGAGTTGGCTCCTAGTCAGAACCCTCCAACCTACCGCCCCGCAGTACCAGAGCCGGCCTAGCACACATCTTGTCCTGCGAGCAGCATGCCCCCTACCCAAGCAGCGCATCAAGTGGACTCCACAGAGGAGAGATCAGAACACATGCCAGACACCATGACAATCAGAGCAGGGCAGGGAGCTGTTGCCCTTCACAGCCTTCCTCTGTGCCAGACCTGAGGCTCAGACAGGATCAGACACACAGTTCCCTAGTGTGGTCTCTGCCCTCGCCTGCAGGAACACAGTGGCCTGCAGCCCCATGGCCATCCTCACTGCCCACAGGGCCACTGGGGAGCAAGCATGTATCCTGGACTCAACCAAGGTGACCAGGACAACCCCAGGAACCTCACTTCCTGCATCTGGAAATAAGGGCTAGCAGGGATGGGCAAAGATTTCTGTATGGCAGGTGCAGTACAGGCCTGGGCAAGTGGCAAGCCTCGGGGATGTGGACCTCCATAGCTGCCTTTCTCTGGCTCCACCTACCCAGTTTTCTCGTGTTTTGTCTCAACTGGAAGAGGTGAACAGTGGAGCATCTCTGAGCCCTTGGTCCAACCACTGCAAGTCACTCTGAGCAGGGCCCACCCTCCCCAAGGTCTGGCCAAGAGGAAGCAAATGTGGGGAAGAAGGAAACGACACCTGCCCTCCACAGGAACAGCCCCATCCTGCCCCTGGCCCATGAAGACACAGAGTCCTCACAGGCAACAGCCCAAAAGAGCCTCTCTGGCTGGTCCTTGAAAGCAGGTGTGCTTCCACTCGCTCAGAAGGCAGAACAGGAACACAATGCAGTGCAGCGGCCCCCGCCCCTGCCAGGTCATGCGACATGCACGAGTGCTGAGCAAGCGTCCCAGAGCCCTGCTTGAGGAGCGAGCCTTGGCAACAACTGCTAGGCACATGCAGCAAATCTGCTCTGGAACCAGGAAGGGCACTGCAGGCTCTTTGTGACTCAGGAGGCCCAAGACGGGGTCCTCAGCTTTTCCCCATTCTCCTCCCATGTGATGCTGAGAATGAGGAACTGGGGGACCCTATACCCTAAGACGGCCTCCATACGGCAAAGTATTGGGCCATAGAACTGGCTCCAGAGACTGTGGCAGAAGCAGACCCACAACTCTTCCCCAGAAGCCCTCAAGAATTCTGTCAGCGACAAAGCCAAAGTTTCCCAAGCACATTGATGCACAGACGCCATGGGCACCAGACTACATGGCTCATCTCAGGTGGGGGCTCAGATGTGCGTGAGTTAAGCTGCTCCAGGGAGGGTGACTGCTTAGGAATCCAAGATCCATCCAGCTGCTTTCTCATTCTGACCAGTCCAGGGGGGTGCTAGCTCCAGGGACAGCAACAGCAGGAGCAACCCAGGGCCTCTGCCACCTCCATGCATCTGCGAGCAGTGTGCTGCCCAGAGACGAAGCAGGGAGAGGTGAAGAGGAGGCAGGCCAGGTCACATGCAGGAGGGTGCCAGGCCCCACCCACCAGGAGAAGGACTGCTTGCTCATGCTCTGGAGGAGGTGGGTGAGTGGGGGGTGGGAGGGCAAGCAAAGGAGGCTCCAGGCCACCCCTTCATGGGAAAGCACAAAGGTACTGCTGATAGTCAGGGAAACAGACGAGAACATAGCTCCCAAAGGAACCACCGCTTCCCCGCTCACAGAGCAAGAGTACCACAACCTCATCTGTTCCTGCTGCCAGGGAGGGGGCTCATGAAGCTACATAGGGAGGGCCCTGGAGAGGCCAGACTGCCAGGCCTCAGGTGTCTACACATCAGGGTGCAGCACTCTCTGTCCCCCACCGGGAAGTAGAGAAAGATGTCCACCTTTTATTTGGCTTCTGAGTGACAGGTGGGTGATGGGTTTCTGCTTCCCACCATGCAGCCTGTGAAAACTCACTCAGAGGTAGGATAAGAACCAGCAGGCTGAGCAGGGTCAGAAGCAGGAGGTGGGAAGAAAAACTGTGCAAACATACCTTGGCATGAGGGGACTGCATTTTTTGGTACATCTCCAAGGAATAGTGGTGAAGCCACATTTCAACAAAAACCTGCAAAAAAAGCATTAGCTAGTCAAACCATTCTTGACAACGGTGCCAGACCATTCAGTGGGGAAAGGACAGTGTCTCCAACAAGCAGAGCTGGGAACACAGAATATCCACACGCACAACAGTAAGGCTGGGCCCTTCCCTCACACCCTAGCCAAAAAATAACTCAAAGTGGGTAAATGACCTGAGGATAGAAACTAAAACCTTCATTCTCAGAAGAAAACATGGGAGAAAGCTTCATAACCCTGGATTTGGCAATGACTAATTAGATATGACACCCAAAGCACAGCAACTAGACTTCATCAAAATCAACACTCTTGAGCATCAAAAGATACTACTGGTAGAGTAAAAAGGCAACCAGCAGGCATGGTGGCTCAGCCCTGTCACCCCAGTGCTTTGGGAGGCTGAGGTGGATAGACCACTTGAGGCCAGAAGTTCAAGACCAGCCTAGCCAACATAGTGAACATCTGTCTCTATAATAAATAGAAAAATTAGCTGGGTATGGTAGGGCACACCTCTAGTCCCAGCTACTTGGGGGTCTGAGGTGGGAGGACTGCTTGAGCCCCGGAGTTTGAGGCTGCAGTGAGCCGAGATTGCGCCACTGCACTCCAGCCTGGCAACAGAATTAGACCCCTTTGAAAAAAAAAAAAAGGAGGGCTGGGCGCAGTGGCTCATGCTTGTAATCCCAGCACTTTGGGAGGCTGAGGGGGAGGTCGGGAGTTCAAGACCGGCCTGACCAACATGTAAAAACTACCATCTCTGCTAAAAATACAAAATTAGCCAGGTGTGGTGGCGCATGCCTATAATCCCAGCTTAGCTACTTGGGAGGCTGAGGCAGGATAATCACTTGAAACCAGGAGGCGGAGGCTGCAGTGAGCCAAGAGCATGCCATGGCACTTCAGCCTGAGCAACTCCTCAAAGAAGAGCGAAACTCCGTCTCAAAAAAAAAGCAACTCAAGTGTCTACTGAGAGATGAATAAATAAACACAATGTGGTACATCCATACAATGGAACACTCTTCAGCCTTGAAAAGCAAGGAAATTCTGACACATGCTGTAACATCGATTAATCTTTAGTCCATTACACTATGTGAAGCATATTAGTCACACACAAATAAGTACTGTGTGCTACAGATAAATACTCTAGGCATGAGATCTAGGAGTCAAATCCATAGGAACAGAAAACAGAATTGTGGTTGCCAGGGCCTGGGTGGGGAACTGTTCAGGAGGTTTGTTTTTTTTTTTAATTAAAAGAGATGGAGTCTCACTTTGTTGGCCAGGCTGGTCTTGAACTCCTGGCCTCAACTAATCCTTCCCTGCTTGGCCTCCCAAAGCACTAAGATTACAGGTGTGAGGCCCCTGTGGCCAGGCTGATTTAGTTTCAGTTTTGCAAGATGAAAAGCATTCTGGAGATTACAATGTGAATTTAACACTACTAACTGTACACTTGGAAATGGTTAAGACAGTAAATTTTATGTCATGTATACTTTATAATTAAAATGTTCTTAATTAAAAAAATAAAAAGGGCCAAGTGCAGGGGCTCACACCTGTCATCCCAGCACTTTGGGAGGCCAAGGTAAGTAGATCACTTGAGGTCAGGAGTTTGAGACCAGCCTGGCCAACATGGTGAAATCCTGCCTCTGTTAAAAATGTAAAAATTAGCTGAGTGTGGCAGCAGTTGTCTGTAATCTTAGCTACTCAGGAGGCTGAGGCAGGAAAATCACTTAAATCTGAGAGGTGGAGGTTGCAGTGAGCCAAGATTGTGCCACTACACTCCAGCCTGGGCAACAGAGGGAGACTCCATCTCAAAAAAAACAAAAAACAAAAAAAACAATGCTTTGATCCAGGAAACAGCAGAACCTTCCAGTTCTGCCCTATAAGCCTGTTTCATGGTCTCCTGCCCTCTTCATGGGCAGCAGAGCCCACAGTCCACACAGCCGAGAGTCATCTGGGCACCATGGTCCCTTCTGTGAACAGGGGCAATGGTTCTTACCATTCCACCCCCCAAGGATGCTGTGAAATGGCGTGGAGGCTTCAAAAACTGCAGCACCCCACATACTAGGAATTATATACAAGGTGGGAGACAAAATGCTATCTAATCTACATGATAGGCTGTCAACAGTGAGGCCGTGGCTATCAAGTCCACCCCAGGATCCAGTGTCAGAAGCAGTACCTGCCAAATCTCTCTGAGGTGTGCCGAGAAGACACAGTCAAGACCTGGGAATTGGCCAGCACTAAGGATGCAAGCCAGCCCATACCATGCTGAGAGGCTGGAGCCTCTCTGGGCAGACAAGGGAATCTGTCAACTACTACTTGGATCCCCTGAATCAATGGGAGGCCTGTGGAGGCTGCACAGATCCCTCACCATTCAGTGTCATACAAATGCTACTGGGGCGGGGCTTAGTATCTACATGACGGTAATCACAGAAAACACCTCCAACCACACGGTAGATGGAAACCAAAAGACTGCAACAATTACATTACCACAGGCAAAATGAAACAACTCCTATGGACAAGGGATCCTGGGATTAAAAACACCATCAATTAAATATAAGTTAGAAGGGTGGGCAGATTTATTTTCATATTTTCTAAATGTCATAGCAGGACAATACCAACAATTTAGAATCAGCCCCAGGCTGAGGGGCCATCTCTGGGACTCTGTCCCACATAATGGAAGTGGCTGAACAGTTTCTTTTCTTCTTTTTTTTTTATTAAGACAGGGTTTCACCATGTTGGCCAGGCTGGTCTTGAACTCCTGACCTCAGATGATCCGCCTGCCTCAGCCTCCCAAAGTGCTGAGATTACAGGTGTGAGCCACCACGCCCAGCCAACAGTTTATTTTCTTTTCTTTTTTTTTTTTTTTTGAGATGCAGTCTGGTTCTGTCACCCAGGCTGGCATGCACTGGCATGAACTCAGCTCACTGCAGCCTCTGCCTCCTGGGTTCAGGTGATTCTCCTGCCTCAGCCTCCAAAGTAGCTGGGACTAGAGTCATGCACTACCATGCAGGGCTAGTTTTTGTATTTTTAGTGGAGATGAAGTTTCACCATGTTGGCCAGGCTGGACTCAAACTCCTGACCTTAGGTGATCTGCCCACCTCAGCCTCCCAAAGTGCTGGGATTATAGGCATGAGCCCAGCTGGTTAAAGAGTTTCTTTTGACCAGCTCAACTCTCACCTGGAGCAGAGTTTCCGATCTCCAGATCTCATGGGAGGCTGGGTCTGCATTCACAGACGTCTGATGAGAGATGTGTCGCTTCAGGAGGCTAGTGTGGTGGAGGCCATAGGAAGCAAAGGGCATGGCTGGTGTCCTGAGGGAGAGATAGAAACAGGCCCGAGTTAGGGGGTCCCGCTGGCCTAGCCAGGGGCGATCTGGATATCTAAATCAATGACAGCAGGAACAGATTACAACTTGCTCAATGGCACCAATGCCCACCCCTCACCACCCTCTGATCCACACTAACATACCTGAATAAATAAACAGCAAAGAGAAAAATCTTCCTTACCACAGAGTGACCACTGACCCACTAATCAATGAAGGAGGGATGAAGTTAGACAACCACCATTTGGCAACTGTCCTATTAATAGCTGATTTGGTCAAGAATCAACAGTGAGGTGAGGCATGGGGGTTCGCACCTGTAATCCCAGCACCTTGGGAAACCAAGACAGGAGGATTTCTTGAGGCCAGGCATTTGAGACCAGCCTAAGCAATAAAGTAAGACCCTGTCTCTACAAAAATATTGAAACATAAAATAGCTTGGCATGGTGGCATGTGCCTATAGTCCTAGCTACTTAGAAGGCTAAGGAGGGAGAATGGCCGGGGCCAGGAGTTGAGGCTACAATGACATATGATTCTGCAACTGCACTCCAGCCTGGGGTGACAGAGTGAGACCCTGTTTCTAAAAGAAATAGGAAATTTCCAGCCCAGGCAATATGGCAAAATCCTGTCTACAAAAATCAGCCAAGTGTAGTAATGCCTGCTTGTAGTCCTAGATACTTGGGGGGCTGAGATGGGAGGATCACTTGAGCCAGGAGGTTGAGGCTGCTATGAGCAGAGATTGCACCATGGAAACTCCAGGCTGGGGTGAGAGAACAGACCCTGTCTCAAAATAAAATAAAATCAATTTGAAAAACAGGGAGAATCAACAGTGGATGTTAACACTAGTGGTAATTACATAGTCTTCATACATCTTCCTAGATATTCTTGTTATCAATCTTTTTTTTTTTGAGGACAGAATCTTGTTGCCCAGGATGGAGTGCAATGATGCAATCACAGCTCACAGCAACCTCAACCTCCTAGACTTAGGCCTCCAAAGTAGCTGGGACCAACACCACCACGCCTAGATGATGTTTTTCTTTTAGCAGAATCAAGGTTGTGCTATGTTGCCCAGGCACTCATACTACTTTTTTATATATATATTTTTGAGGTAAGGTCTCACTCTGTAGCCCAGGCTGGAGTACAGTGCATGATCTTGGCTCACTGCCACCTCTGCCTCCTGGGTGGAAGCAATCCTCCCACCTCAGCCTCCCAAGTAGCTGGGATCACTGGTACACACGACCACACCTGGCTAATTTTTAAATTTTCGGGAGAGATGGGGTTTTGTTATGCTGCCAGAGCTCGTCTCACACTCCTGAGCTCCAGTGATCTGCCCACCTAAGCCTCCCAAAGTGCTGGGATTATAGGCATGAGCCACCGCCCGGCCTCAATACTATTTAGTCTAGGCACAAAGTACTTATTTTACAGTGGAAAAACCTGGCTGACACCTTTTCTGCCCAGTGATAAAGGGCACCTGGCAAGGACCAGGTGTCCCACTGCAGTGGTCCTGCCAACAAAGCCCAAAAACTGGGCCTAGTCACCAGCAAGTATCAGACAGCTTAAGGGGTAGCCACATGCTTTGGACGGGTCAAGGTCAGGAAAGACAGAAAGACCAAGGGACCATTCCTGACTGAAGGGGGCTAGAAACATCACTGCACACAGTGGGTGAGCCTGTGCTGGACTCTGGCCAGCTAATGGGCAAGAGTGGGGTACCTGGTGGTGAACCCCAAGTGGAGTCTGATGACTAGGTGGCAATACTAACTTTCTGGTGTGGTTATAGGCACTGTGACTACATAGGATAATGCATTCGCTTCTAGGAAATACACTGAAATGTTAAGAGATCGAGGGATGTCATATCCTGTAGCTTACTCATGTTGGCTTAGGGGAAAAAACACATACAATAGACATAGAATAAAACAGATGCAACAAAATGTTAACAATTTGGAAATCTGGGTGAAGGGTCTATGAAGGTTCTTTTTTCTAATGCAGGATCTTGTTCGTTACCCCAGGCTAAAGTGCAGCAGCACACTCACAGCTCATTAAACTCCTAGGCACAGTGATCCTCCCATCTCAAGCCTTCTGAGTAGCTGGGACCATAGCTGCACATCACCACACTTGGCTAATTTTATTTTTATAGAAATGAGGTCTCCCTATGGTGCCCAAACTGGTCTGGCATTCCTGGCCTCAAGTGACCCTCCTGCCTTGGCCTCCAAAGTGCTGGGATTACAGATGTAAGCCACCATGCTCAGTCTACAAGTCCTTTTTATTATGCGGGGAAGTTTTTCTATAAGTCTGAAGTTATTCAAAATAAAAGTTAGTGTGGTAGCTTGCACCTGTAATTCCGCTTACGATGGGAAGCTGAGGCAGGAAGATTGCTGAGGCTAGGCGTTCAAGAACAGCCTGGGCAACAGAGCAAGGCATCCCATATCTCTGCCAAAAAAAAAAATATTTTTTTTCATTGCGGCTGTGGTGATGCATGCCTGTAGTCACTGGATGAGGGAAGGCCTGAGTGGTGACTGTGCCACCAAGTGATAATTGTGACACTGCAGCCTGTGTGACAGAGTAGACCGTCTTTAAAAAATATAATGGCTAGGCCAGGCGTGGTGGCTCACACGTAATCCAACCTCTAGGAGGCTGAGGCAGGCAGACACTTGTGGTCGGAGTCCGAGACCAGCCTGGCCAACATGGTGAAACCCTGTCTCTACAAAATACAAAAAGTAGCTGGCATGGTATAGCTGTAGTCCCAGCGACTCAGGGGGCTGAGCCAGGAAATCGCTTGAAGCAGAGACAGCACCACTACACTCCAGCCTGGTGACATTGAAACTCTGTCTCAAACACAAACAAAACAAAAAATAAACAAAATAAAAACCACAATGGCTGAGTGTGGTGGTTCATGCCTGTAATCCCTCCATTTGGAAGCTGAGGCAGGAGGATCACTTGAGTCCAGGAGTTCTAGAACAGCCTGGGCAATAAAGCAAGAACCATCTTACAAAAAATAAAGCTGTGTGTGGGGATGTATGCCTATAGTACCGATACTTGAGAGGTGAAGTGGGAGGATCACTTGAGCTCAGGAGGTCAATATTGCAGTGAGCTGTGATCACAATACTGCACTCCAGCCTGACTCTGTCTAAAAAACAAAGGCAATTATATATATTTTTTAAGGGGGGGCAGGAGGGGGAGATAAGAGTCTTATTCTATTGCCCAGGCTGGAGTCCTACGGCACAATCTTGGCTCACTGCAACCTCCACGCTCGGTTCAAGCAATTCTCCTCCTCAGCCTCCCCAGTAGCTGGGATTATAGTGTCCACCACCACCCAGCTAATTTTTGTATTTTTGGTAGAGGTGGGGTTTCATCATGTTGGCCAGCTGGCCTCGAACTCCTGACCTCAGGTGATCCACCCACTCAGCCTCCCAAAGGATGGGATTACATGCATGAGCCAATTTGCCTAGCCTATTATTTCTAAGAGAAAAAAATTAAAAAAAAAAAACCAAAACCCAAAAGTAAAACAAGCAAAAAAGCCAGGCATAAAAAATCACTGTGCAGCTGAACTGCATCTGACAAGGTGGGAATCCGCTTCAC